ATAAGACCAGAAATACACAGAGTAAAGACAACCTGCAAATTTACGACAGTGAGAATTAAGTGATATTTTGCAATAGAGCTCATTAAAAAACAAAACTGTTCATATCTGCTCAGTGTTATGGGTGATTAGTTGTCTCACCGTGTCCTTTGGTAGCATCGCCTCCTAGCAGCTGGATGGCTCTCTTTGGCTTGAAGTAGCTACTGGCGATGTTCTCACTGTCGCTCCGGTCCAGCATCTCCTTGTACCTGTCCTCTTCTACTTGCTGAAACACATAGTGGTAACCCCGGTCAGTGTTTCAGTACAAGTAAAAGATGATGCATGCAACTAAAATACACACCGTTTGTGGTTCTCTAGCATCAGGACCTGAGCTCCTGCAGGCTGAAGGTTTTGGAGCCACTGCTACGAGAAACAAAGGAAGTGAGACAGTATTTAAGTTAAAGTACCTGCAAAACATTTGTAAGACTTACAGTCGTGTCAGCTGCACTATTACTAAAAGCTTTTACTATCTCCAGATATTTTCTCTTATGGCCCTATCATGCCCCACCTGAAGGCAGCGTTGTTTTCTGCACCATCACATCAGGCAGCTTCCAGGTGACGCTGTCCTCATCCCAAACAGCTTCTTTCTTCAGGCGGTCCAGGTTGCTGTAGTTGCAGTCACGGCGCACCAGAGGCACCATGCGCTCCAGCAGGCTGTGCAGTAACTGGCCTTCCCTCTCCAGCCGACGGATGGTTGCCAGGTAGTCATTCCTCTCCACCTCAAACTCTGCTTGCAGGTCACGGATCTCCAATTTGGCTGCTTTCAGCTGTCACAGCAAGTTAATGTGGTTTTAAGGTGGAATGACAGACTATATGAGGACTGGAGTTGAGAACTAGCTGTAGCTAAAACTCTCTATGTAATACATCAGATTCATGCCCTGTGCTGAAACTATGGTAATTGCATTGTCCCTATTAAATAAAAATAAGAAAATGATGCAGTTCAAAAAGCTCAAAGACTGTAGTCTGGATTTCATACTGTCCAGTATCAGTTAGCTCTTATTTTAAGTGAGCATTAATTTCAGCGGTATTTTGGGCTGTATGCCCCAGAACCCAGTCGTACTAGGTTCTTCAATAAATCCCAGAAGAGACAGGCGTAGCCTAGTTTTTCAGGTTAAGAAAGTAAATGAAATACTTTTGTTCCCAAGCTCAATAGTACAAAATGTGCATCACTCTGAATTATGGCCAGTTTTCACAAATTCCCAACTCTGATACACTTGATAAGAGCACATGCACATGAAAAATATAAAAGCTTTCGGAAATTGAAGACTGGTCAAATGCAAGTTGGTCATCAAATTGAGAACAAGACAGCTGTTTCCCTATTTTGTAGATCATTGTATTTAGTTT